AACAATCCGTATAAACTATGCTATAAACAAAAAATTGAAGGATTACTTACCGAGTGTGCTCGATAAGTGTAAGTAAGTAAGGATTACTTACTTACCGTTCGACGTCGCCATTGCTTTTAAGCTTGTTTTCGTCGCGGAGCGGCGCACCAAACGGCGGCCGCATTTTCTGATAAGTTATTTTTCTGTAAAAAATTCGTTGAACTTTGGAGAAATCATTAATGGAAATAATTTTTATGGCTGTTTAATAAGAAATGTATAAAATTACAGTACTGTATTAGACTTACGGTACCTAATTTACATACTGTACAGACGATAGTAAACTCAACTTACCCGTCTAAACTCTCCATAGCGTGTAAATAGTTTGGCTGCTCGTCTACTATTGGTCCAGATTCGACCAATCCTGTCGCGACACGAGTCGGCGATGACGTTTTACCGCATTTTACGCGTCCGTTTTAGCGTCTTTATACGAATACTGTCACAATTTTTTCGCCGCGTTATAGGAACCCGCGTTATAGGGGATCTACTGTATTTAAAGATCTGAAGAGTAAATAACGTGGCAAATCGACATCATTTCGAGAAAAATCATATCGCCTACTGTTGAGATGAGGTAACAAGTTACAACTATCGTCTTTCTCGAGTTTAATTTTTCTTACCGCTTATAAATTATTGCACTTTCTATGAATTTTTAACCATTATGACGAAGACAGTGCGATTATTCCTCCGGTGGTAACTTTTAAAATTAGTTTTTCCCTTACGATACGCGCGAATAATGGCCGAGGTAATTGAAGAGTGAGCTTACCACTGCGGAGGACCCATAATCGCGTTCGGGTGCTGTATTGCGGGCCCGGTAGAATCCATGATGGGCATTATTAAAAATGCTCTCTTAGTGGGCACAGAATGGAGAGTCAAAAATAAAACAAAAAAAAGATAATACTCAAGAGCAAATTATCCTATAAAGAATCTATGCGCTTGTTTGGTACCCCCACTTAAAGACTCCAAATGCCTATTGTAAGAGCGATTTGATATATAATTTCCAAGTGAATAAAACCACCGAACACTGCTAGTTTGAAGAAGGTTCGTTCGTGCCTGACCTATGGGCTGGCCACGTGAAGTTTTTTGGGTTTTTTTCACGCGTCTAACACCGAAATAGGGACTGGTTTAGTATTAAAAATCGAAAATAATCGTATTTAAACTCAATTCTTGGTGGTAATTTGCTAATTTGACGATAGGAGTTCCTCGTTTCGGTTAGGAAAATCGAAAAATTGGCGCTACATCTATTAATTATTCAAAAGTTTTTAAAAAATCCATTATTATTTAAGATTTTTTAAATAAATTTTAAGCATAATTTATATACAGTCAACACACCTTATTACTGAGAACGCACATTTATTTAGCTAAACAAACGTTTTCAACCCATTTCATGGGCCATCATCAGGTTAAAGACGTTCGAATCCAAGCCATTATCAAACACGTTCAAATTTAAATTACTGTATATTAGAACATATGTTGAAATTTAATTACGTAAATAAGCATAACGAAATTAATACAATAAATACGAAAAACAAAATAATATAAAAAAGGAATACAAAATACAGTAATTTCCCGCAATACAACATAAGGACCAACCTATAAACTGGAAAAACGTATGCATAGGTATTTGTCGGAGCAGATTGAAGACTACCAATTTGTCACAAAAATACCTTTAACTTAGTGAATGATCTGCGTGAGCTATCGTTAATGGACCACGAGGTTGGGTCGGTTATGGACTTCGAGAGCACGTATCCATCGATAAATCTTACTTCATGTTTTGATGCATTAGTAAACCTATTATGTGAGTTGCACCCGAATGCATCCGAACAACGAAAAGACCTCGAGATGATGGTGGATCTTGTATGCTTTCAATCATTTTTCAGTTTCGAAGGTAAAATTTTTAAACAGTTAAGGGGGGTCCCGATGGGCAGCCAAATGTCTGGCCTTCTCTGTGAGTTAGTTGTGAGAAAAATGGAGCGCTCTGCACTTATGAACTATAATGAAGACATAATCCTATACAAAAGATACGTTGATGATGTGCTAATTGTATGGAAGAACGACACAAAGATACAACAATTCTTGAGCCAAATGAATTCCAACCAGCATGGTTTAAAACTGAACCTAGAACAGATTAGTAGCAAAGAACTACATTTCTTGGACGTTAACATTGAATTTAGGAATGGTTCACTGTACACAAAGGTGTATATCAAGCCCACTCATGATCCGATATATATACCAGCGACATCTAATGATCCAACTGTATATAAACTCTCTGCCTTTAGGGCACTAATCAGAAGAGCGTTTCTGTATTGCTCCAACGTAATAGACACGATACAGGAACTGAATAGAATTAAAGAAGTGGCGAAAGGGTTGGGATTTGGAACAAGGTCTGTAGAGCGTCTAATTACCGCATACAACGATCCTAGAAAGAACAAAAAGAAAAAACCAGAGGGAAGCAGCAACATCACAAAATTTACATATAATAAACGTCTATTCCCGGTTATGGAAGAAATCGCGAATTACAAGAACACCAATATAGTATACAAAAGAGCTCCCACATTATATACGTTGCTCAGAAACGACAAAGAAAAAATTAATGAAAAAGAACAAGCAGGAGTATATGCAATACCGTACAAGAACGATCAATTAGGAATAGATAAAGAATACATAGGAGTCACTAATGGAAACCTTAGCGTGAGGATGAAGGAGCATAAGTATAACGTTGCAAAGAGCCGATATGCAACAGCGTTATCAAAAATAGCGCAAACAGATGGATCCATAGTTAAATGGCAGGAGGCCAGAATCATTACAAAGGTACATTCGCCAACACTAGCATCCACAACAGAGAAGTGTGAGATCTACGGATCTAGCTTGACGGATAAATGTTTAAACTATAAGGATGCAACCATTTTACTGTCGGAATGGAAATACATAATCAGAAAAAACTCGTAGGATGATACATCCACCAGACTCAATGAAAACATGGGTTAATATATAAAAAATGTTTACATGTTTTATTGCGGGAAATTACCGTATTTTGTATTCCTTTTTTATATTATTTTGTTTTTCGTATTTATTGTATTAATTTCGTTATGCTTATTTACGTAATTGAATTTCAACATATGTTCTAATATAATTTAAATTTGAACGTGTTCGATAATGGCTTGGAATCGAACGTCTTTAACCTGATGATGGCCCATGAAATGGGTTGAAAACATTTGTTTAGCTGAATAAATGTGCGTTCTCAGTAATAAGGAGTGTTGACTGTATATTGTTAAAGAATCTGAGTGAGAATAGGAGACATAATTTATAGATTTAAACATTAATTTTAGGTACGGCCAGTAAATCGGGTTTAACACAACCAGTTAAGTAAACCAACGATATCACCCGTTTCGTTCGAGACGGACTTTATCATCAGATGCATAACCCGGTAAAGGGCTTTAATACAGCCAATGACGTAGCTCCTCTCATTTGAAACGGGCTATATCATTGGTTCGCTTATCAGGCTTTTCTTTAGTAACTAAAAAACTCAGAATTTTTATCATTTTAATTAATTAAAAGTCGATGTTTTAGAAAAGAATTTGTAAAAATAAATTTTAAAAAACAATTTAGTTTGTAAGACCGTCGTTTGTTTCAATCTAATTCATTAATAATTTGAAAACTCGGTCGGTTATTCTTCATCATTTTTTTTTACTTTTCTAAAGAATTAACGAAGATATTAAGAGCCGCAAACAATTAACTACTAAAAATGATTACGTCATCGCGCAGAACACTCGCCACGACGTTTTACGTCACACGAACGAAGGACAGAAAAGAAAAAGAAACATTGTGGCGTTATAACTCAAATTGCGTTACGTAAGAGAAGTTAATTCCGCGTTGAAACTTCCGAAGTTTTATTTTAATTATTATTATTTTTTCTCTTCCTTTCTTCCCCTTCGTGCCCTTGAATATCGACTTCGTCATTTAAACAGTTGTAGCTACCGAATTCCAGATGATTAAAGACGCGCGTTTAAACATCTGTTCGCCTAAAAACACAAATCATCCGCAGATGTAAAGGACTGCTATGGAATTTCACGTATCGATAACACTAAAATACCGCATTTTATGCGCAAAATTGACGACATTTCGGCTTTCGGTGCCCTGGCTAATGGCGAAATTGGGTAGAAATTACTGGTAAATACGAAACGCGCCCGCGAATTTAGTAAGGGACGTGGTCGCGCGTGGCAAAGGGTGGTTACGAGTGGGTTACGAGATCCTCGAAGCATTTCGAGGCCGTAACTAAACGTTATCTCCAAGTATCTCGAGTGTGTTTAGAAATTTAAAAAACTTCTCTATCGATATCCATTTATATCCGTTACGATTTCAACATGTGTTTATCTCTGCGAGCGAGGAATGTTAAATATCATTTGATAGACTTTAACTGAGTTACCGATTTCTTTTTTTTTTTCTTCTCCTCCGTTTGTATTTATAAATAAATGCTTTTAAAATAGCTTCTATTCGATAAATTTTAACGTTATCGCTCGACGATAAAGTAAGAGAGAATTGTAACCGATTTTATTTTTAGTATAATTAAAGATTGTTTGCAAAAAATAATAATAATTTATTACCGACGTTTCCTGGAAAATTTCGTGTAAATCTCGTAGAAACTCGAAATATTTGCTTATATTACAATTTTATTAGTACGTGTATTTTAAACTTTGTACAAAACCGTAATACACTCTGATGATATTTTATCAAAAATTAGTGTTTTAATTATATTTTTACACGAAATAAAAAGAAATTATTGTAGATTTTACGTTTTTTTTTATCATAAAATTAATCGCTCCCGATCTTTGTTAATAACATCTCGCGTACTTTATCGTCGAATAACGTTGAAATGTGAGAAGTGTAAACAATGAAGATATAAAAATCTCAATAATTTATTTACAAATTGAAATTGGTTGTAGCGACGGGCGTGTTTTTTTCTATTTCGGCCATTAAAAAAAAGAAGAAAGAAGAAGAGAACCGTGGAACATGTTGGCTAGACCATACGATACGAGATACATTACGCTTCTCACAACTTCTATTTTCTGTTTACATCACGTGTCCTTCGTCCAATTACGCGTCCGTACGGTGTTTTTAAACCACGATGAAGTCGTACAATAATTAATGTTAACATGGATGCCAACAACGTGGAAGAAAATGGAGCGTTGAACGGAAAAATCAAAGAGCACCCCTCGGAACCCACTTCGAAAGCTCGCGAATTTTTTAGGAAAAGATGGTTTCTCTTATTCGTCGTATTCCTCGTTTTGTTAGTCATCGTGTGTATAATCCTTCTTCTCGTATTTCTCATACCTTACGTGAAGAGGGAGGTGAAGAGAGATTTTAGATTACCTCCGAACGTATCGCCCGAGCATTACGATTTAGAGATTCGGCCGCACCTGGAACCGGAAGATTTAAGATTCGAAGGGGTTGCCGTCATCACTTTCGCTTGTGTAAATACTACGGACACGTTAATCCTTCACGGCAATGGCTTGAACGTTCGTGAAAATAGTTTAGACGTGGCTTCTACCGATGGAAAATTGACTTTGGACGTAATCCACGTCGGTTACGATAAAGAAAATGAATTTATAATTTTCACCCTTTGCCAAAACTTACAAGTTGGCCGAAAGTACAATATTCGTATGAAGTACGATGGAAAATTATCCAATGCGCTCGGCTTTTCTGCTATTAAATACCAAGATAATGGCGTCGAAAAGTAGTAAGTTCGGTTTTTACTTTGTAAATTTATAAAATTCTCTTAAAATGTATTCGGAAAGTAGTCAGTACTTCTCAACCTTTTTAATTGGCCACCCTCTGTAGAATATATTTTCACTAATTAGTTAGACCGCGAGCTACGGGTTGAGAAGTTCGATACGAAAATCTCTAATAATTTATCATTTTAACGACGATTAACGTAATTAATTGACTGTCTATCTGTCAGACATTGTATTTTATTTAATAATTAATAAAACGGATACAACTATTCTTTATAATTATTATTCGGAATCCTTGAATTTTTAAATGGAATTTCTTATATGAATTTTAATTGATTCAAAGGCACGCATACTTCCTCATTGCGAAATCTTCGAACGTAGTGTAAATAAATTAGCATAAATCGTATAAATTAATAAAAAATCTTAATAGAAATTACCCTAAAATATATTTTGCCAGATATATAACCATTATTTTTATTTATATTAACACAAAATAATTATATATATACAGTAAACGAGTGTCGAATGTTACGTAATTTCCGGAATGAATTAATTTAATTGAGGTTTTCAAATAAATTCTTTGGCCTAATTACCGTTTTTTGTTGATGTAAAACGGAAATTAATTGGCAAAGAATATAAATTCGCGAATGAATATTAAGAGAAATTGCTTTAAAATGATGATAAATACATTAAAGATGCTTTTGTACAATATAAGAGTGTGGAGTAACGTTAGAAGAGTTAGAAAAATATGTATTTTTTTCAACAGTAACATAATATCCGAGTGTAGAGGAATGATAATGATAATCCAGAATGTCATTTAACTACAGGAATTTTTTATTTTTTTAAGTTTTTTCTTAACCAACTCGACAAGGTTTTATCTGGAAAACATCGTCAATAGACATACTTTTGAAAATGTTTCATTCGTAGAGTATTTATTTTAGCCGAGTAAAAACATTTAATATTTAAAGAAAATTATATTACACAAGTTATTTTAAATTTTATTTTAAATAGAAACAAAATATTAAAGAAACATATGGAAAGAATCTTGGATTAAACAGATGAAAGACATCATTTTCTTCGCTTAATTATTGAAAAAATGTGTTTGGGCGAGATAAAATAGAGAAAAAATTATAAAAAAATATTTATTTATTTTATAAAATAATTAATAATTTATTAATTTTAATATGAAGTTATATTCGTTCAGATCAGGAATTCGCGAGATATTTTGATCAGGAGTTTAAACCCCCCGTTTGATCGGGAGTTCTACTCTGATCAAAAGTTCATAAATTCTTTGATCGTGAGTTCTCCCGGTTTTTGAACATGAGCCAAAAACGGGGAGTGTTTTGATCAGGACTTTTTTGAATCGGGAATCCAAAATATCCATTTTTTGATCAGAAGTTCTCAAACCGCCCGTTCCATCAGGAGTTCGTAACTCTTTTGATCTGAGTTTTTTAACCTTTTCGAGTTTTGTTGCCTTCTTAGTGTTAAATTTACTTCGACGATTCCATTCTATACTGATACAAAATAAGAATAACTTACAAATAAAAAATAAAACGACAGATAATAATTAATTAATAATACTCGAAAATATCTATATTAAATGTAGCCTAAATCAAGCTACAAAATTGAGTATTTTGCTTCTATAAAACCTAGATAAATTCTTATTACATATTTTAAAATTATATTTCTAAATACAACGACTCTAATTAAGCTATAGTAATTTAGCGACCCCCGATATAACGATCGATCCCTCGTGGTACGTCGGTTTATATCGTTAATACGTTAATAATTCACAATAATCGCATATTTTTATAAAATTATAACGTTAAATATTAATTAATTTCAATATTAAAGATATGTAAATACGTGTTTTTTTAATCTTTCTTTTAGTGTGGCCTTCACCAAATTCGAACGAACTTACGCGAGAAGAGCATTTCCTTGTTTCGACGAACCTCATTACAAAGCCAGATTCACTATTTCGATTGTAAGAAGGAAAAAATATGTATCTTTATCGAATATGCCACGTAAGGAAACGTTGGAAAGGTAAAAAAATTGAAAAATATCAGAAATTCTTACAAATTGCAATCATAAAACTACTTAGAAATCGTTGAAGTACAGTATTTTCGTGCCTATAATCCGCGATACGGCGTATAACCCGCAGAAAATTACTAGAGCGAAAACAGAATCCCGCATCTCCTTTCGACAAAAAGAACGGCAGTTATTAAGCTTTAAACAGGGTGAACAAAATCGTGCTCATTCCGCATACAGAAAAATCCCCCAAACTTTTTTTGCATTTCTTTACGTTTCAAGATCCCTCGAATCCAAAAATGTTAAAATTTGGGAGTCATTCATCATACTTTTCCTCTGTTGTATACGAGTATAACAGTCGGGAAATTAAAAAGACAGTAACGGAATAAAAAGCGATAAAGAAACAAAAACACCTTTCAGTCTGTCGAACGGGGATCGAATTATAAACCAGTTCATAGAGGCGATAACTTAAAATATGACCATTGTAAAGCGTGCGTACAGAAGCAACGGAATTCTCACCTCTTTGACATTTTATCTGTTTGATGCCAGCTGTTGCCATGTTGCATAATTCTAAAGTGTCTATATAAATATTTACCAAGTTTATTCGCTTAACTCGGTAGGTTGTATCGGGTTTTCTCTCGTGATTTAATTCCTTGTTAAACTTAATAACCTCATTAAAATATTCAAATTATGTTTTCGTGAGAATATATTTATCTTTACGATTTATTTAAATTTATTAATCTTGTTATAAAAAAAGTGTAGATGACAATGAATCCTTGTCTTGTTTTGACTTTAACACGCGATAAATTTACATCATTTGACCCGAATTACGTTATAAAAACTTGGACTATTTATAGTTGCAGCTGTTCCACATATTTTTTCTTTTGTTTCTCGAATTACATAAGAATATTATTTGATTTTTATTTAAAATCTTAGTCATAAGATAACCGAGTTACATCCTTACAGAGTGTAACTCCGTTGCCACTTACATTCTATAAGATGCTTTCTGTTATCAATTACGCATAATAGTACAAGATGTACAGTACACGAATTTACACCCTGTACGATTAACTATACGGTGTATAACTCTATTTACTGTACTCTTTTTAAGTACAGGATGTACTGTATGTACTGTACATCATTACTGGATGCTAGCGTGCTCTTTACACTCTTACACCTACTGATCCCATAAGAGTATGCGGAGCGTAACTTTGTTATTAGTTACGCATAATAGTACAAAATGTACAGAGTTACACGTTATACTATTATATAAGATGTAACATCTTATATAATTTTACCGTAACCCTTACACACTACTCTGCGTGTTCTACATACAGGATGTACTGTATATAGCCTATACGTCATTAAAGGGTGCTAGCGTGTTCTGTACGCTCTTACACGATTTAATTCTGTTATCGGCTGTACACTTATCTCGGGGCTTATAACTCTGTTATCAGTTATGCACTTTTCTTAAAGAATGAAAGGCCCGAAGGGCCGCAATCCTTAGTCTCTTCTAGTTTTTTAGCTCATACCTCGGGCACTTTTAGCTTCTTGGAGCCTAGTAATTCGCTTCTCAGAGCTCTCTAGCACTCCTCAAACCCTTCTACTCGCTTTTCAGACCCCTTCTCGGGCTCTTCTAGTAAAAAATTCTGAGTTCCGCCACACGGTCACCCGAGTAGTCTATACCCTGACAATCGGCAATCTTCCCCTATTGGTACACCGAATAGAGATCGACAGTAACTATAAAAGTCTGCTTATCAGAAATATTACATAAAAATTTCGAATAAATACATTATAAATAAACGTATTGAAGTTTTAAGTAAGCGATTGAATTACAATACGCTTTCATTCTCGTTTAAGATTCATTTATTCCTTTTATAAATCTATTCGTTGTATCGGTAAGTACCTACATTTTTAGTTCGTGAAGTGACTACGATAAGTTGTTGACTTTTGTTAATAAAATAAGTATAAAAGACTAAATTGTAATTAAATTACGTTTAAAATTCGATATAACGCCCTCTTAAATAGCGTCACTCTCGCGAAGTGCCAACGAATACTCGTAAACAGATTTTTCCCATAAATATTAAATAGAAAACCCTTCGGTATTTGTCAATTACTGAATTATTCCATTAATGTTTAAGATTAGCGATTCAATGCGCATCGCAAACTATTTTTATGACTCGAATTCCGAAAAATACACATACATCTGCGCGAGCGAACGAAGTACATTTAATTTAATAAAAGATTACGCAGCGAAACCTCGATTTAACACTTCAATTTGTTCGCCTCCGAAATGGGTGTTAAGTCGGGTTTCGCGCTAAGCCGAAATATCTCAAACAATACGAGTTACCGTATATATAGGACTTTCTACGAGAAATTTCTACTAGACCCTATTTAGGTGTGTTAGACACGTGAACGAAACCCAGAAAACTCCGCGTGGCCAGGTCGGGCGCCAACCCACCACCATTCGTGGGCCAAAAACTAACGAATCTCTCTAGTTAATATTTATGAGAAAGATCCGTTTACCAGTACCCTTTACGAGAGTTGCGTCATTCGGGGGGACGTTATATCGAGGTTTCGCCTATGTAAGTTGGATATCACTTTGGCAATCTACACAAAGCTATCCTGTAACATTTACTGATTTTTTAAAAAAATAAATAAAATGGAGGAAAATGACGAAAGCTTTTGATGAATTCCAGATTTTCTTTCGCTTCCACGTATCATAATTTCAGAAACGTTAACGTAAATCATCGTTATCAAACGTTTTTCTGGTCGACGACCTCTTCCACTAAATTAAATAACCGCGACGTTACGTATAAAATTTTAGTGAACTTTCGGTGGCTGGCGAATTAGCGGTTGGGTAACTGTAATATAGGTCATCGTTTGTTCGAAACTGGTGCGCGGCGCTATATCGAAGTACCTCAGAAAATAAGAATTATATATAGTAATGAAGTATCGTACGGTACATCGAAAAGTTCTGTACTTAATACGTATGGATTTACTGGCGCTTTACCAGGGTCGCGTTAATCAGGAAGAACAATATCGAGGTTTGATTGTAATTAAAATTATAAAATATGATGTTTTAATGTTGAATTTACGCGACTTTCTTTTATAGAGACGACGATTGGGAAGTTGACAAATTTCAAACGTCGGTAGTCATGTCTACTTACTTAGTCGCTTTCGTCATCGGTGAGTTTAAAAGTATCGAAAATGGCAAGGTAAATAGTGATTTTATTTTATTATTATATTGTAAAAGAATTTTAATTAAATTGTAATATTATTTTTATATAATTAGGTTGCCGTTTGGTATCTAAGAAATAACACCGATATGGAATTTATATTGGATATAGCTCATAAGACTCTCGATTATTTCCAGAGATATTTTCGAATCGATTACGACTTACCTAAACTGGGTAAGGACCGATTATTTCTTGTATAAGTTAAAATGTATTTGAATAAAATTAATGCGCTTATGGGCAACTGTTGAACTAGACGAGATTTTCTGTCTTTCAGTACATGGTAGTTCGTAAGGAGTCTTATGGCTGAACACCTTTACTCCGAGAGACTCGCGGTTGATGGCTACGCCACCGAAGAGCCGGCCTTATAGAATGGCCTAATCGCGCGCGGAAAAGAATGCCTTCCGGGAGGACTTTTATGGGAAACTGGCCCCTATTCCGGCGTCATCGACGCGAAGAAAACCCGGAAAACTCCACGCTGCCAGTCCGTCCGAGCCAGGCGCCAACCCACGACCGAACTCCCAGTGTTCGGGGTGTAGTCCACTCGAGTGCGGGGACGAAGACGCTCGGCCACTGGTGGGCGTATAACGAGGTTTCGGGAAAGGCCTTTAGCGAGCGCTGTAACGTTACAATAACGCTTAGAAGAATAATTTCGTGGAATAAGGCATAATGTTTATTGATACAGGCCTATGGCAGTGCGACGCCTGGGCGATCTCCGAGTGGAGATCCTTCCCTTGAGGACTTTATGAGAAATTGGCCCTATTTAGATGCTATAAACGTGAAGAAAACCCGGAAAATTTCACTCGGCGAGACGTAAATCCATCGACCAACTACTAGTGTTCGGCGATTTTATCCACTCGGCCACTGTGGAGCCGATGGGGTAAAAGGCGATGCAACGCGTGTACGATCTACCAAGAAGGATGCCTTCCGGGAGGACTTTCTACAGGAAAAAGACTGCTATTTAGATGTTAAATACGCGAAGAGAACGGGGAAACTCTACATGACCTGGCAGTTAGTAAAGTGCGAATCCGCGACCAACTGTGTGCCGTATTTGGTGGTTTTATCCACTCGGCCTTTAGTGGCACACTTAGAAGAATAGCGAGTACACTAATCCAGATAGTAGTATTTTTCGTAGTGTTAGACTCGTTACTCATCGTCCATAAATCGAAAAACTAGCTAGGATCGACTCTCCCGGCTGTTATAACAGAGGGAAAGTATGGCGATCGGTCAAAAAATGAGGACACATCGAAACGTCGAGAAATGCAAAAAAATTCGAGTTTTTTTTTCTTGTACGTATGGATGTTGTTAGTGCGTTTGGGGGGCACGATTTTGTTTACCCCGTTTAAAGCTCAATAACTCCTACGCTTTTTGTCGAAAATTTCTGAAATTTAGCGGGGAGGTTTGTTTATAAGGGGAATTGATGTTATTAAATTTTGGTGATTGAAGGTGGACGGAATGGGGAGATAAATAGGGTCGCGTTCATATCTCGAATACAGTCGGACTTAATGTCATTTTAGAATAATTAAAAGTACAAAAAATTTTAAAATAAAATTTCATAATGGATGGCGCCACCAAATGTTGCCGGAAAAGTTAAGCAACTCGTTGCTAGATTTTTTTATAATTAAACTTTTACATTTTCAGATCACGTAATTGTTCCCGAATATCCTTCTTACGGTATGGAAAATTGGGGTTTGATCATGTATAAAGAAAATGCGTTTCATCCCGAAGCGACTAGGACAACAAAAGCTGCTTTAATTTCTCACGAGAACGTACATCAGGTTATTATTTTATTTTGCTTTTTATAAATAATAATTCAAATAAATATTTATCAATAAAATATTTTACTGATTAGAAATGTAGAACAAAAAAATTAAATGATAATTATATTTTTCCAGGTTTTATTCGTAAGTTTTATTCGTATAAATTAGTTAAAATTTTACCGGTTATGGGCCGTTTTAAGCGCTTTCGAAGCCCCGACCCAGTTTTTAAGGAGAATTAAACGCGTAGATATACACAAAAGTATCGGCATTGAGAAGAGGTCTAATATTATCGTTACGTCACATAAAGTTATATAAATGGGGCCGTACGGGTGGCCTAAAATTGCCCAACCTAAAGCCGCCACTGTGTATAATTAGCGCTTAATCCAGGCGTTCTTACTTCCAATAGGAGAAAAGGGTTTTAAAAAATTTCTTATTTGTAGAATGAAGCGAACGTCGATTGGTTTTGCCCATCGCCCCTTACTTTTTATTAAAAGAATCATTTTTTTAAATATGAAATTTTCTAAAAATTCAATTTTAAATTAATCTAGAAAGTTCATTTTTATCTTCTAATTTAAAAAAAATTAATAATTTTTACTATAAAAAATTTAGAATTGATTTTTAATCCAAAAATACGCGAGTTTAAGCCAGGCGTTGCTTTTCTGGCCAACAAAAAATTGCGTAAAAACTGATGGAACCGGGTTGAAAAGTAAAGCTCAGCAAAAACATCTAAATAAAGGAAACTTTTGAAAGCAGTGGCGTAGAAAACTAGAACCAGATTCAACAGTAAGATTAACGTGTGAATAAAGTGCGCGTTGCATTACACAGACTGCGCGTGCCTTAAAGTGCCTTCGCTAATATCGCTTAATGATGCGCTAAAGTTTGGCCAAATTATCGTAATTGCAACGAATTTAAGTCAGAAAGTAAAACTTAAAGCCTTTATTTTCTGTGACAATGCTCGTTTTCTCGATTTATTATCTCGGTGACATCGCTTCGTCCAAAACTTTCTCTTGTAGTCTGTGTAACGCGCTTTATTCGCACGTTAAGTCTTACTGCCAAATCTGATTCCCGTATTATTATGCCACGACTTTCAAACGTTTTCCTCATTTAATTTTTTCGCCGAGATTTATTTTTAACCCGGTTCCAATAATATTTTTATGGGATTTCGAGTGTTTTTCAGTCATCGGTAACTTCGTAATAATTCTATTTTCACTCGATAGTCACATTTTAGCCTTCAGTACGTTATGTCACGTAATAACAGATTGACGAATAATATGTCGAAATGTAAGAACACGGGCTCTTATTATATAAATAATCGGTATTTTTAAATAAAACCTTCTATAGAGTAAACGGGAGGCGGTCGACTCTCGAACGACTTATTAAACGCAGATTCCTTCTACAGTAGATCGTTCGGCAACTCGGTGTCGCTATTGTAAATCTATGCGACAAAATCCCAATCGCGTAAGTCCGAAACGACCCAACGAATTTATTCAAAATTTAACGCGTCCATAGTACTCGTCGCGGACACTAAATACTTTTAAATTTCATTCGAATCGGTTAGTTGGTCGTGGAGATATTAAGGATCAAAGTTGGCACTTTAACATTACACGCGTGGCCGAACTTTACCGCACCGAGGTACTTGTAAAATGTGCGTGTACGTCTGTTCTCTATACATTTCTAAACCCTTCTTTACCGATCTGCACCAAAATTTTTATAGCAGTTCTATAAAAATATCGGCTACCACTAAGCCCGAAAATCCCATTCTTCCCCCGATTTCGTCCCTTTGATAATTAGTGATAAATATGTATAACAATAACAAGATAAAACGAAGCTTTTAATACGGCTTCCATTTGAATATTTTCTTATTTTCTCCCAGGCAGAGGTGGGTGTATCTGCTAATTGAATATGTAGCGTAAGAACCGCTTTAAATTATCATATGTTTTAAGAAAATCTTCCAGTTATATTTCGTGGCACGCCATAAACTAAAATAACTTTGATAATTAATGTAAATTTTTAAAGAGGCGAGAATTTTTTTATTTATTAAGAATTTTATAGTTGTTAAAAGCTATTATTATTATTATTAAAGTTTTATATTTAAGTATACTCGAACTTTGAATAAAACATCTCACACGAATTACCAACTGCTTTTGATTTAAATTAATGTTATGAACGCGAGCATTTTACGTGTTAAAATATAAAACATTTATTTAAATGATTTGATTATAAATGTTTAATAAATTTGATAATATTTATGTATAAGGTATATATTTTAAAATAATATTTTTGAAATCTCGTACAGTCAAACTTCGATTTAGCAATACCGTTTACACGCCTGCAAAATTCTCATCGAGTATGGTTTTAAAGTGCTCCAAACAATAACATTTATGTTTAATATTGAGATGTACAGAAAAATTTGAATTTCATTTGGTACTATAATTCGCAGATTCGTTCACAAATATTCATTGGCTCTTAATGAGGGGGTGCTGTTTGGGAAGGCGCGTATCGAGATTTGACTGTCAATATAAAACGTTGTGTATAAGTCTTATATATGTATATACAGTGGTTCGGCAATTTAGTAACTCCTAAATGGTGGGACGATTTGTGGCTGAATGAAGGATTCGCGCGATATTTTGCGTCGGTAGGAGTTCACGGCATCCACCCGGAATGGAGAATGGTAAATAAATACAGAATTCTTTTTCTTTCGAACATTTCTTTAAAGAAAAAAAAAATCTTCGTTAGACTCGTTACTCAT